AGTGATGAAAATTAAATGGAGTGTCACTAGGCTTGATTGGTAGAGTATTTGCAAGTTCTCTAATGCTTTCTTAAAAAGCAGTTGGTCAAATATTTTGCATTTAAAATATATATAGTTTCAAAATTAATTTAATATAATTTATTTATTTGTCTAATATTATCATAAAATTATATTTTTTTTACAAATTATCATTTTTAAAAATAATTTTATACAAGTTAAGTTAAATTTTAAATTATTTTTAAAAAAAAAATATTTTAATTTTTTCAAATACAAATAAACAATTTAAAATTAATTATGGTCATGATTTACCATAACCATAATGATTAAAAATTAATTTTTTTAAAAATTAACAAATTGGAAATTAACTTAGTTTTATATCATGATTTAACAATTTAAAATTTATGTATGGGTATGAGAAGTTTACGTTCACGTGTCAATCCTATTTATCTTCAATTTTTCTCTTGTTGTGTTTTTTTTATTTTGGTTATTCCTTGATATAAATATTTATTTTAAAGTTTATTCTCATTTCGTTTGTTTGTTTTGACCTGGGATTTAGAAAATACTTAATATTTAAAATAATTAAAGAGATACATACTTAGGTTAAGATCTGCACTTTATGCTCAATAAGTATTTTCTATTTATTATTTATTTTATATTTTTTGCATATTATAAAATAATAAAATAATAAATATATATATTAAATAACTAAGAAATCAGTTACTATTAAATAAATTGGCGTAATAAATTGGCGTATGCATATAAATTTAACTATCACTCTTATTTAAATATATATATATATATATTTAATAACTAAGAAATCAGTTACTATGTAATAAATTGGCGTATGCATATAAATTTAACTATAACTCTTGTTTATTCGCAATTAGTTTAAATAAATCAAAATAATTAATCTTATATATTGTATATGATATATAATTAAATTTAAATGATATAACATAGTAATATATCACACTTTTAATATAGATATTTATTAAATGAGGTTTCTACTCATATGATTTTATGATTATTTGCATATTTGTGTAACAAAACTTTACACCAGCAAATTTTTTTAATGTGAGATATTTAGTAGTTTCAATAATTTATAATCATTTAAAAAAATGATATATTTCAAAATTAAAATATTAAATTTTCAATATATGTTCAATGCAAATATCAAAATAAAAGTATGTATTTTCATACGAAGTATAGTTTAATTTAAACGATATGAAATATATATAAACTAAAATTACTTTTTCATATGGTCTTATAATCATTATATTTTAATATAGAAAAAAATTAAAACTTTGATCCTAAAAGTTTATGTGAGACTTTTAAAATTTTTAGTAATTTATTCTCATTTTGAAAAATTTGAACTACAACATACACAAAAAATCTAGATTTTTGTTATATGATTAATGTAATTGTGTAATTTATTTTAATAATAAAGAAACAAACAAAATGATAAAAAGTATACAGATTGTTATCAAATCTTTATTGTTTAAAATCATTAATTGTCATATATATACATTTTAATCACATTAGGTAATTTTGTAGGTTTTATTTAAGGAAAGCATGCGAAACAATAAATATTTGATATATGCTACTAACTATAGCCTACAAAATATTATATTGCTAGAAAGTATAATTTTTAGACAATACATTATATTACATGCTCTAGAATGCTTTTAAATTAAAATAGAAGACAAAAAGTTATGCCACATAGGATTGAGACTATTTTTAATTATTACAAGTTTAAGGTTACAACTTTTTAAATGATTCTTTTTAATATATACTAGATTTCGACCCGCACAACCGTGCGGCTTTTTAATACAAAATATTTGAAATTATATAATAAAATTTATCAATAAATTAGTATAATTTGATTTTTTATGCTATCCAATTTTATAATCATTTTTATGTGACTTATAATATTATTAATATAAAATTTATAAATTTGTATTTTGGTAAGAATTAAAAAAAAAAATATTATGTAAGATTACTAATTTATATATTTTTTTTTATTTCTAAATTTGAAATATATGTAAAAATTAATTAAGTTGGACCTACATCATAATACATAAAAAAAATTTGGGATATTGTTAAAAGTATTTTACAAAATTTTAATTTTTTGTTTATAAATTAAAAATGAATTATATTTTAATTATATTTTATGATAATTAAAATTTTAATCAAATAAGTTTTGAAACTATATCTTGAAAAAGATTCTAAAAGATTTTTAAAATATTTTGTTAGAATTTTCTTAAAACTATTTATTTGTATTTCAAACAAAAATTAAAGATATGAAAAGATATTATAATGTCATATAAAATTTTATAAAACTCTAAAGAGAGTCCAAACTAAAATATCACACATGATGTGAGTCATGACTTCTCTTTTAATATAATAGATATATATAGGGAATTAGAAACTGTTTTATCCTACAAAGCTTTAATAGCATTAACTCCAATTTGACCTGACCTAAATCTGACATCACTCAAATCTATTTTTACAGAAAAAAAAAAACAAAAAAGAACAAGCAAGCAAAGATGAATAAATTACCAAACCTCAAAGTTAAAAAAAAATAATAATAATAATAATAAGTCACTGAATCCAACGAAGAAAAAAAAATACTTTGCCGGTTTAACTTTGAAATTTTTAATTCAAGAATGTTAACATTACTTTACCTAAAAGGATCATATGTAAGAGATTAAAGAGATCTTTAAAATACAAAAACAAATTAAAAATAGAACTATGGGGCTTAGAGATCTAATTGTTTGGACCATTACTAGTTTGAAAATATTGTCTATATAGTAGGCGATCTTTAAATTACTAGTCATATGTATCTGGTTCTAGATTGTTTAGACGTACTGAGGAAGCTAGACTTTTGATATTTTTTACATCCTTCATATATATATATATACATTTAGCAAATTTAAATTCTAATAATGATCCATCAGATTAATTAGATTTTTTCATTAATAAAGTATAGTTATTTTTGATAAAACTATTATTAATAAATAGTTATTGCTGGAAATAAATTATTTATTTGAAAAATATAAATAAAGCGTAAATTATATTAATATTTAGTATTATACTAATTTAGTTTTTTTTTTTGTTGGCAGTGTGGTATAATTATGTTCTATATAATATTTTATTAAATCCTATAAGCCATATTAACATAGTAAGTGATTTGTATACATAAATATATACAGATTTTAAAATACATTTTGCGGTATTATTCAAATATAAAATTACATATTCCTAAGAGCAAAAATTGATGTCTTAGAAAATTATTTATCAATAATTAAAAATATTAGAACACTTTGAAAAAAAATAATAAGTAAAGTTTGATTAGTTTAGTTTGTGTAAATATTCTTTTTTATTTGTTACAATTCTTTCCAATCATGCACATAGTTTCAATAAAAAAATCACGGGTTTGTTTCCTTATGTTGTATATTGATCTTATGTAATAATTTTTTTTTTTTAGTTTAAATGTTAAGATTTATATTATTTTCTGAGTTTTATGTTGTTGTGGAACACAACTTATCAAAAAGAAGAGCTAAAAAAGAAATTGTAACATTAATTAAAGGAAGAAAGGAACCAAAATACAATTCGAGCAAGGACGGTCAAGAGGCTACCACTAAAGATGGAAATAGCAACATGTCTCGCATACCACGAGTTAGAATGCCTCTTGATCTAATGTATGCAAACATTCTGTTCACGCTATAGGTTATAGATGATGACTTGGTTGAGAAGCTCTAGGATGACAAATGCTCGGGAGGCATGAGGAGCATAGGCTGATAACCGCGTCTAAAGATGCTGGAGGAGACACCATGTACCTGCCACAAAAACAAATCCAAGTAGCAGCCGTAAACGAACACTCAAAAAAACAAATGGTTATGAGTTTCATTAGCAGAAGAATTGTCTATACAAATGGGACAGCACAACTTTGTTCCTCATTCGGTACACGTTTCAAGCGGTCCTTTACTCGATCTGGAGAGAAAGAAACAGCAGAAGCAGAAGGCATGGTAAAAATCTTCAACACCCAACACAACTTGTCAAGTATATTGATAAACTGGTCCGGAACCGCATTGATTCACTTCGGGGATGTGCGAATGGAAAATACAGCAAAGTCATGGGAGTTTGGTTTGCAGCAAGATGAAGGAGATGAAGGAAAATTTCTAAACAATCTCAAAAAGTTTCAATTTTAAGTCAAACAATGGCACATCTATTGTATATAAGTGTTTTTTTGTCTTGAATAAATTTAACATTCATTTAAAAAAAAAAAAAAAATTTAATGATATAGTCTCAGTTTTTATCTAACGCTATTAAAATGGAGATTTTGATCTATTAATTTGTATTTGTAATATCTAAGAAGCCTATATACTTTAGAAGACGATATTTTCGAATTTCTTGATTTTTCGTATAGTCAAACTTCAAAATTTGACAACTTGTGCAATATAATAATGAAGCCAGTGTAATTAGTTAGAAAACCTTTTCGATTAAATTAGACTCGAGGTTCTGCATATTGGTACACATAAAAGGGTGAGCTTAATTTCTTATAAAAATGGTATAAATACTGAAGTGAAAAAATAATAAAAACAATGTGTTAAGGAAAAAATATTCTTATGAAATATAATAAAACATGTTATTCTTTATAAAATAATATAAAATCAGTAAAACAATTTCAGTGTTTTTCCAAATTGGTTTTTATAAATCAGATACTTTATAGTATGTCATTTAATACAAGTAAATATTTTAAATCAGTTAATGAGTTTAAATAGATAAAAATCCAAAAGAAGAGATTCCTTTTTTTCTACCCAAAATTAATGTTTGCGTTACTTGTTCCATTGGAAACCAAAATTAGAATATATAATAAAAGAGGAAGGGTATTAGAGTCATTTAACAAGATGGCATATACGTAAATTTAGTGAACCTAAAGGGGCAGTTTATGCCTCCTATCTCTATATATTGTCGCCCCTACTCATAACTTTTGTCCTGCCATTCTTATTCTCTTCTCTCCCTCATCGCTAATTCTCTCTCTCTCCCTCCCAGTTCTAATTTTATTATTTATTAAATCAAAAAGGAGAGATAAATATAAGATTCTTTTCTGGTTAAAATATTTTTCTCATCCGGTTACTTAAAAAATTACTGTTTTACCGCAGTAGTTTTTTTCCAAAAAAATACTAACTGCTGACGTGGCATGCATCCAATAAAAAACCGCCATGAATACCAAAACGATGCGTCTTCCCCCACGCCGTGTCCTCACATCAGACAAGCGAGTTATCTCCGGCGCCGTCGTCGGTAAACCCGCCGTCACAAATCCGCCACCGCCGCCGATTAAATCCATCCTCAAGAAAACTGAATCCGTCGCTCCGACAACAACTACCGCCGCCGCCGCCGTAGCCGAGCAGGCCGGTTCTAACCGGCTCGTCGCCGGTTATCTGGCTCACGAGTTTCTCAACAAAGGCACACTCTTCGGAGAGCAGTGGAACCCAGCAGGCCCATTTTCGGCCCAATCCACCGAGCCGAGAAAGACTAAGCCGAGCCATGATATCGAGCCGAGTGAACATAAGCGGATGAGATATGAGGAGGTTGCTAGTATCCTCCGGGCAGACGGGACCCACTTGCCCGGTATCGTCAACCCTTCACAGCTTGCCCGCTTCCTTAAATTGTGATGGCGCAAATCCACGTGGATTAAAGAGATTGGCGCGTCCACCGAAAATCAGTACGGTTGTTAGCACCGAAACATTCCTTCTTTGTCTTCGTCGCTTATGTTCGAAATTGACTCAGAAATGTTAGGGTTCTTGTTTTTGTTGGGATTAGATGTACTGTCTTGTTTTTTTTTTTGTAAATCTAGTTATGCATTAAATCAACTGTTTTGAAAAAACTATTTCTGTTAAATTTCTGATTTCATTATGCATTAATTCTTATTATATATGTTATTGCTGATTTCTTTTCATGTTAAAAAGAGATGATAACTTGATGATTCTTCCATAAGTGAAACCCTAGGATGAATCTTCTCTGATTAAATCGTAGATCCGAGTTTTGTGGACAACCCCAGAACATGGATTCACATTCGTTTCATGCCTTAGTCCCACCTTCGTATTAAAAGGCGATTTTTTTTTGGCGGATACGAATTGTGCATTGTAAAGATCGTTATGAATCTTCTTGATCACTCAAAATAGAATGTAGCTTATTATGTAATATAAATGATGGAGAACATCTTGAATGGCTTCTGTACATTTATCAAAAGATTGGTGAGTTCTTTAATTCTTTATATATATATGTATACTTGTTTTTTCTTTGGTTTCATCTAATATTTGTCTCCTTAATTTATGAAATTTATGTTCAGAGCAGAGCACGGAGTAGAGACAGGCTGCAAAATTGGAAATGTGGGCATATCTAAAAGCATTGTGGCCCACATTTGTTGAGAGATAGAGGAATCTCTTACCAGCTGGATATACACATACATGCATATGCAAGTATGTATCTGGAATTAACTTGTTAAAATTAGTTGATAATTCTATTATTAGAAGAAAAATTAAGTTGTTAAAATTACTTGTATAGATGAAATGCATGGTTTCATTTTTGGAGGTACATATCGTTTTAGGAGGTCTGAAAAACAGCCATGAAGGTCCCTCATGGGCTGCGACCAAGTCGACCCTGAAGTTATGTACCAAAGCTGACAGACGGCCAAAGCCAACATACACAATAAGAATAATGTACACAGTATACGAGTGTTCTCTTTTGTCAACCAGTAAACCATTGTTCTCTTGTTATAACTTATAACTAATAAAATATGCATACATGATGTCTAGGCATTCGGGTACCCGTTTGTGTTCGCATTGGGTATTTTAGATTTTTGAGATTTACAAAATTTACATTCATAAGTCCTTTTAATATTTTACTAGTCGTGTCGGATTCAGATAATAACACTTTGGATTTGGTTCAAATTTGTATTGAATCATAAATTCCATAAAATTAGAATTCGATCGGTTTGGCTCGGGAAGTAAAAACAAAATTTTAAATCAAAACATTAAAAAAACACTTAAATTGAATAGAAATTAATCCTACAAACAAAACGCGTCAGATTGAATAAAATTCCTAATATTAATTTCGAAAATAGTGTCTTCCAAAGTATATAGGCTTCTTAGATATTATAAATACAAATTAAAAGATCAAATCTCCTATTCAATGGCGTCAGATAAAAACTGAGACTATCATGAATTTTCTATACGGTATGAAAATTTCAAAATCTTATATAGTTTTGTATAGACAATTATTACAGAAGATCAATATACGACATAAGGAAACAAACCCGTGATTTTTTATTGAAACTATGTGCATGATTGGAAAGAATTGTAACAAATAAAAATAATATTTACACAAACTAAACTAATCAAACTTTAGTTATTTATTTTTCAAAGCATCACTAATATTTTTAATTATTGATAAATAATTTTCTAAGACATCAATATTTGCTCTTAGGAATATGTAATTTTATATTTGAATAATACCGCAAAATGTATTTTGAAGTCTGCATATATATGTATACAAAGCACTTACTATGTTAATATTGCTTACAGGATTTAATAAAATATTATATAGAACATAATTATACCACACTGCCAACAAAAGAAAACTAAATTAGTATAAAACTAAATATTAATATAATTTACGCTTTATTTGATATTTTGTCAAATAAATAATTTATTTCCAGCAATAACTATTTAATAATAATAGTTTTATCAGAAATAACTATATTTTATTAATGAAAAAAATCTAATTAAACTGATGAATCAATATTAAAATTTAGATTTGCTATATATATATCTGCATGGTTTGAACCCACACAATTACGAACTTAATTAAACGCTTTATACCATTCAGCGAAAGTATAATTCATTGTTTGTAATCACTTTAGAAAGATTTGTTTTCAAAAATTAAACGTGCGGGACCCACAAAGTGCTGACATGGCGCATTGTGGAATCTAAAAACTAACACATTTATAAATAATATACATATATAAAATACTTATTTATAATTAGTTAGATATTTAAGGTATTTTCTAAATTTAAATATTTATTATATGTGTCATATCAAAAAATATATTTTACCCAAAATTTGAAATATTTATATTAATTATTAGTTTTGCATATTTCGGATAATCCGTTCGGTTCGGTTAGTAACATTTTTGGGTTTGAATATTTTTTTTTTACCATCATACAAAACCCGTATCATACAAAATCCGTTTGGATATTTTTACATTTGAGGTTAGATAATGGATCAGATTCAGATCAGATTTTACGGCTTAGATTTCAAATTTTATGCCCAGGCCTACCTACAATGTACAACATGCATTTATGAATAATAATGTACTTAAAATTATTTGTCATTTAGAAAAAAAGGAGTAATTATTTAGGCTTGGTCAGTATTTCTTAGTTTTATTATTAAGATTGGTTCATTCATATGTATTATCAAAATATGCAAAGCAAAGTCATCACAACTTATCCAACTCACTATCAAAACAGTAAAATGAGAAAAAAAAAATAAGGGAAGAAGCATTATGATATTTTAAACTCTCCAAATAACTAAAACAGAAAATTGCAGCAAATAGTTCAAAATAGTATTTCAAGACTTTTTTGGAGAAAGAGGTCATACAAACGGAAAAGAACTAAAACTTGTTTAAGCCTTGGCAGCGGCACGACCGTAAAACTTGAGCTTCTCCTGGGTTGTCTGGAACTTGCCATGACCCATCTTTGAGGAAGTATCGATAAACTTGAGGTTGATCTGCTCCATGGCAAGACGGGAAGTCTGAGTGAGCAGTGACTGTCTAAGAGTCACAACCCTCTTCTTAGGACCCATGCAGCATCCCTTAATCATCAAGTAGTCATCCTTCACCACTCCATAGTGTGCGAATCCTCCCATTGGAGTCACATCCTTCTCCGTCCTATATCACAACAACAACGTCATCAGTTACATAAAACCTAAATAAGAGAAAGAGAGACAATCAATTATACAGACCTGTCGTATTCAGTCATGGCAGTGTGAGTCTCCTGACCAACTTTCCCCAACCTGTAAATCTTCTTGTTCAATTCAGTACGGTGATGGTAACCGTTCTGACCAGCTCTGGCAACAGTGTAAGAGACTCTAGCTGGATGCCACGCACCGATACAAGCAACCTTACGTAGACCTCTGTGAGTCTTCCTTGGAAGTCTAGTCACACCCCAACGGGTAACCACACCTTCGTAACCTTTACCCTTAGTCACACCAATCACATCAATCATCTCATCCTTCTGGAAAACAGCATCAATCGGAATCTGCTTCTCAAAGAAACTGTAGGCAAAGTCAACCTTCTGAGCAATGGTACCACCATTGATCTGAATCTCCATCATGTGAGCCTTCTTCTGCTTCAAACCCTTCATCTTCCTGATCTGAGTGTGGGCCAAAACACGGATGACAGTTCCGTACTTCTTCATCTTCTCAAGCTGAGACTGGATGCTCTTCTTGCCTTCCTCGCTTTCGTACTGCTTGGCGTAACCGGTGAAAGCCTTCTTCTTGGACTTGGCCCAGTTCTTGTAGAACCTTCTCCTGACTTCCTCGCTCAAGTGCTGTGCCCAGACGGTGTTCAAAGAACGAAGGCCACGGGGTGTCTTGACGTAGGCAACAACACCAACGACCACCATAGCTGGTGTCTCGATGATGGTGACAGCCTCACAGGTCTCCTTCTTGTGAAGCTCTATAATAAACACAAGGCAAGAAAATTACCATTAGTAATTAAATATTGAAATGAAGAATAAGCAAATAAAATGAATGAGAGCTAATACTTACTGGATCCGGGTTTCTCGACATCTCTAACAATGTGGGTCATACCAGCTTTGTATCCCATGAAGGCTGTGAACTTGCATGGCTTGGTTTGGTCATCCTTTGGGAAGGCCTTCACTGTTATTTCAAATACAACATTTGGTTTATATATATTAAAAAAAGATATAAAACTCCAAAGTAACTCTAGAAAACAGAGTAAAATTCACTCACAAGATACACAAATAATCACAAAGGGCTTCAATAGCGTATAAATGTTAAAAAATTTGATGAAATCTCAATCACAGCACTAAAAATACAGATTAAATTTTCAGTTTCTATTTCAATTAATGATGAATCTACATATTGAAATAACCAAAGTATACATTTTAGTTACACAATCGCAAATCTAAGAAACTAAAGGAAACTCAAACTGTATCTCTACAAAACATATGATATGTTTGGTCTGAATAAAGCATTTGAATAAAAAAGAAGAGTTACCTTTGCCTCTGTGACGGTTAGCTCTCTTCCTTGGAAGGAAACCAAGAGAACCGTGCCTTGGGTGCTCAAACTTCCTGTGAGACATTCTCTTCTACCTACACTGTTTTAATGTTCATGAAAATTAGAAACCAAAAGACAAAAATGTAGATTCAGAAGAAGGAAGAACCTTGAAGCTGCGCGGCTAAACCTCAATGCGACGAGAAGTGAAGTGTAGAAACCCTAGTATCCTTTTTATATGTGTACTCATATAACCCTAAATGTTTTGGACATTGTTAAAAAGATGAAACCAGTTTTTCAAATTGGGCCTCAAAAGCCCAACTCTAGAAAACTAGGGCAAATTATTTTCTTCTATCGTGCTCCTCCAAATCTGTTATAATTATGCAAATTTTAAATAATTGAGCACATCAATTTTCTGTAAAGTAGATATATAATCATCACTATTGGTGTCCTTAGTGCATCCCTTAGTATTTTTTATTATTTATTTAACCCAAAGTCAATAAGAGACAGGGTAATCGTTTGTAATCGTTTGTCTTTAAGGAGTATTGATTGTCCAAGCAAATGGTTGAATCTTAATACTAGGCTCTGAGTGATCTCATCTTAAGTATTTACTCGTTTATGAATATTTACTCATTTTAAGTATTGTCTCCAACCAAATATATTCATATTTTTCCAAGAGAAAAAAAAAAGTCAAATGTAAAACAAGTTCAAAGATTTGTACATAGTTTCACTTTCAAACATTGTTGTTTGGTTCCACAAAACTAAAACAGGCTCCAGCCTTCTCATTGTCTTCAATCTCTAGGTGGAAAGGACCGGCTGTCATGGTTGTCTGAGAACTGATTCCAAGGCTTTTTACCGGCTAAGAAGATCCAACCAACCCTCTTCTTCTCAAGAAACCTAGTAGAAATGAATAGCCAAAAAATAATAATTTGTCTGTTTTTAAGAGTTTTGATGTTAAACTTTGCCTCTTTTTCAAATTCATACACAATGAACTTTTGATGTTGAGCAGTGTGCAACTTATTACCTCTTATGAAGTCTCACTCACTAAAACGAAGATTCGAGTGGTTCATCCCAAACATCTGCACTCCCATTCGAGACTTCATCTTCTTCCATTGATAACCTCACATACTCTCTCTGCGCAAACCGGTCCCATTCTGTCAACGTTGGATTCTCCCTCTCCTATGAAAATGGAACAAAATAATAAAACAAAGCTGTTTTTCAGTAGCAGTCAAGTTAACTGAATCTGTTTCACGAACATGTAAACAAAAATGCATATAGTAATGGTTTCGAACCAGTGGCTCATAAGCCACAAAAGGAGAGAAACTCTATACAAAAAGCTATGAGTACCTGGCGAATGAGAAAAGGGTCACGAGTCTCAAACGCCATGAATTTGTTCAGGTTGAAGAGTATATTGAAAACATTTCTAGAAAGTTTTGATGCTTTTAGATCCTGGAGTGTGATACAGTTCTCCTTCTGAAAAGAAAATGATGTTTAGTATTTAAAAAAAAATATAAATCCCGGGACAATGTTAGGGTTTGAAAAAACACTTGCCTCTGGTTTAATCATGTCGAATATTTGGCATAGGATATCCTCGAAGAGTACAGGCTCCTGAGTTATGCATTCCATGCGATGCAGCTGCTCTTCATAGAAAAACTGCATTTCGTTTGGACTCATCACTCCATCTGCATCCAGGTCTATGCACTTGAACCTACAAAAATAAGGTTTTTAATTAGTTTCTTTTTTAGTGAAGAGATGTTGCTATAGACAGAAAGAGAAGAAGGGGGAGAGATGTGTACCAATACTCAAGACTAGGCTCAGATGACTTGTCCTCCTCAGCGAGAATGAAGTATGCAAAATCTTCATAACTCATTTTCCCCTCAACTTTGCTAGTAAATTTCCTTGGGACCTAATTTAGAGACATAGCCGTAATGTGAATAGAATGAAACACATTCACAAGACTATGATTGTTCAATAACATTCTGACATCTGGAGCCAACCTGTGAAAATATTCTGTCGACAATCCTGTAGGTAAGGGCATGGTTACCATATTTGAGTAGATTTTCCTTGTCGATAAGGAAATCATGGTCGCCATCAAGTTCCCAAAATCTGCAGTAGATAACGTAGAAATGCTCATAGGAAAAGTACCTGAAAAAGCAGAGAAAATGTCATTTTAGATGGTCAAAGCATGCACACTCTCCTGTCTCAGTCCAACATGAACTACATTTCTTCTCCTTTGTGATTTATAAAGGTAGTGCTCATGTCTAAGAAACAAAATGAATATTTCAGCATTATTCATATTACTCACAAGGCGCTAATGCTACACCGTTTTCTTATCTTAGCTTGAATTCTTAAAAAGGTTTTTATTATAAAAACAAATTTGAATTTGAAGTCTTTTTGAAGTATTATTTAAGAAATAGTGAAAAGGTAATCTCAATCACCTAATAACCTTGTTGATGTCGTCTTCTTCATCAACTTGTTGCATAGCCGCAATAAGATTCCCACGCTTCAGCTCTCTAAGGGTAATGCAACCAGTTCCTGATCTGTTTATGTCGTAAAATATTCTGTAGATGACGGTCTCAGCTGCGTAGATAGGAAAAGACACAAGCACAGGAAAATATATAATTTAGTCAAGAGATGTATGCACCTGAAATATAATATACTGAAGAAATATTCACTGACCAAACAAGATAGCTAAAGAAGTCACTTTCAAGTTCGTTAATGTGTTTAACTAAAACCAAGTTACGCCTCCTAATTCTATTTTTTTTTTTAAAAGCATTCCAGTAGCTCTCTTGATAAGTTGATATTTAGGACCAAACATCAATGTATCATAAACCAACCAAGTACTTACCATATCTTTCTTGAAACTCAGGTGTATTCCTCAGGAATTCCAAGCCAGGGTGAGTTTCTAGTAGCTCATCAAGAACTGGTTTGAAGTCAACCTATCCCCAAATCCAAGAAAAGAGAGAAGCCTTTAAGACAATGAATGGATTAAAGAAAACAAGAGAGACGATACTCTTTGGCAAACAAATAAAAACTACAGACAAGAACTGGGGAAAAAAAACACAAAAGACCTGTCTGAGGTACTTGCATCCTGGCTGCCTTAAAATATTATATATCTGTGAGGCTACGTCCATTGCCAACATATGTCCATCAACCCAATACTTGATAAATGCATCCCTGCAGGTAAGCATTATACTCATAAACAAGATATGACGTATTCAGAGATACAAATTAAGAAGAATCTCTGTAACTGCTGAATATTTCTATGATTACTGATCAAGATCTTGCTAACTGGAAGATATATTAATTCCCAAAGAAAACCTACAGCATAGATACTCCAAAATTACTTTACACATGTTTTTATCAAATAAATCGAGTATCAGACCTATTATGCCATTGTATATTTATTTTAAGGGTTTAAAATTTACAAAACAAATTGCTGAGCGCAAAACAGACCAGCATATGTTTATCCTATCTTACAGATACAATACCTATGTGTATACACTCAACTCCTGCAGTTACGCATGTGAAAAGAAAGTAGATAATGAGTTACCTTGTAACGATACCGGTGGAATTAACATCTATCTTTCTAAAGAGTAGAGAAGAAAGAAATGAAGGCAACTTGCAGACCTCTTTCGTAACGGTTTTGAACTCTGCAGTTGGAAAAAAAGGCAAAAAGAAGATCAACAATTTGTCCTTCTCTTACAGAAGGGAACTTATGTAATAAGTATTGAACTGAAACATCACCATCCGTTCGAAGTCCGTCTATATAGTTACTAAAAAGATGATCAACCATGGTTATACATTGCTCCTTTAGTTCTTTCGCCGGTGGAGGTCCATGTTGAAAGTAAAACTGCATAGCAAATCAAGGCATAAAAGTTTCAAACAACAATGGCTAAACCTTCAATTACAAACTGTAACAAGGATTTTACCAAAATAAACTTGTACTCTCTCATGGTTTTATGGAAAAGAAAGTGTATCTATTCTACTCATGGTGTACCATCTACTTAAAAAGCTATTTCAACTCTTTAACAGTCATGTTAGCAGACATAAAACCCCAAAATCTAGATGCCAAGCAAGGCAAGTGCAATATAAAACATCCATATTCTTGAGGAGCAACTGAGGAGATGAAGACAAACCTGAGGGATGAGTTGGGGCTTTGGTGGTTCCCTGAGTGATCTAAGAGGAGACTGCAGAGAAAAAGGGCTACTCTTCTGCCTTGAGAAACGAGGAGACCCAGATGAGCCTCGTGGGGAAAGTGGAGGAGTGCCGCTGTTGAGAAAAACAGATGGCAAAGCACTTCCACAAGCTATATTGAGATTGGCACAATTCTTGGATATACTGACTGGTGTACTAGATTTCGTATCATCAATCAAAGACTTGACCTACACAAACATTAATAGTGTGCCATAGCAAAAAAAAAAAACTATAAACAAACATTTTCATCAAAAATCAAAATAAACAAACAAGTAACCAAACATATAAGGAGCATACAAGCAATCACAACAAAAACTTGTAATAATCTGTCAACGAGAAATTGAAAAACATACCAAACGGGAAGTCTCAGGGAGGGAAAGCCAGTGGGAGAAGAGTTCCTCAGCAATATGAGGATTTGATTTAACGGACAAACCAGGAAGCTGCAAGAGCTCAGGATCCAATATATGAACATCATCTATATCCATGATCCCTAAACTCTACCGAGTCAATTAAAAAAAACTGGATGATCGTTACCACTGAAACCAACACCTTGAAGTAGTGGAACCACCACAGAAAATTAGAGGTCAACTAACTAAGAGATGTTTATACTAAAAAAAAAAAAAACTAAAGATTCGGGTAAAACCTAGTTCTATTAACAAAGACTATTACAACTTCTTCTTCTTCTACAATTCCAAATACTAAGATTATCTGCAATCGATCAAATCTGCTAGAACGAAGAGAAAGTCTATAATAATTTTCCCTGAGAAGTGTATTTATGATGATGATGGTGAAATGAACCCAAAAGAGGTAATATTTATTTTATTTAATAATAATATTTCAGTTCCATCCCAGCGCTGCTATTTATTTGTTTTCCACTTTTGAAGCCCCTCACCGTTGACCAAAAAGTCAAATTCACCGTCTCTTATTATCATGTCGCCATCAACAACACAAAGCTCCCAAACTATGATTTTGCCTCTTTTGTATTAGAAAAAACAAGAAAGAGAGACCAAAGTACAATTCTTTTGTCTTTTTATGTTTGTTTATTACAGTGATAAACTTGAAGTAATGTGAGTATATATATAAGAGGAATACAAGTTCACCTCTTTTACAATTGAAACTTTCTAAACTTTTGACTCTTCTTTTCTCCATCACATCACACACCATTTAAAATATACAAAACGAACCAAGAGTGCTGGCAAAAGATCTCTAATGATCTGAAAATCACCTGTGAAGATCTTTTAAAGTATATGAAACCCTTTTTTTTTATTGTGTTTTACTTCCGAAGAGAGAGAAGCTCAAAGCTTCTCAATTGATCTTCCCTAGCGTTTCTTGAAGCAGTTGCACGAGCGAAAGACTGAGTCTTTGATTCATATCCAGCTTGGACTCTCTGGCTGCTCGATGGACGTCCACTCCCACTGCCACCCACTATGTTTGATGAAACCAAACGGCTTGAAACTCGGCTTTCGCTTGGTCCGCCTGCAGAACTTGGTCGTGAGCTTGACGCAGCAATGGCTTTTCTAGATGTAGTTGTTCCGTGTCTTGAAGAACTGCTTGGTCTTCCAGACTCTAGTCCATGCTGCAAAAAAACAAAAAATAACACTATCAAGTTCTTTGTCTTAAGTACATCTTTTGGTTAGTGTATGCTTTTGTTTTTGTTTACTATGTGCTTAGGGAAAGGTCCGTCATCAGAGTTTCTTGATCTGGAACGATCACGTGGCGAAGAAGTGTTTGTTGGGTGTCTTCGGGAGAAGGCTTCCACTGCACCCGATACTCTCATCGTTTCCTTTCCTAAACAAAAGAGTTCTTACATTAGTAGTAGTTCTGGTTCTGAGATTCTCAACAGAAGCAGGAGGTGGAGTGAGTTTTACCTGCGTGCCTCTCTTGTCTACTAGTAGAAGGACCAGCAGTGTTGAATCCTGGTTTCGTGGTTGTTTGATGCTGCCAAAACCCAAATATTTACATTTATGTAAAGCATAGAGAAACTCAAGAGCCACACGAGCAACCAGAAGAGTAACAAAAGAAAGAAAAAAACTCACCCTTGGACGTGAGCTAGAACCAGAACCGGAACCGATTTGAGGATACTTTAAGACTGTCCAGTCAAATACGTAATCGAATTGATAACCTGCAAAAGTTTCAATCAATTGGAAAACAAAAAAGAGACGAGAGAGTGAAACAGTGAGAATATTGATGTTAAGTTAAGATAAGAACCTTCTCGGATGAATAAGTCGCGGAAAAGTCTCTTGAGGTAAGAGTAATCAGGCTTGTCATCAAACCGTAAAGATCGACAGTAATGGAAGTATGAAACAAATTCAGACGGGCAATTTCTACACAGCACCTACATCAAAAACATTTAAATGGAGGTAGACTATCAAGAAAGGCCTCTACTAATCCTATATCTGATTGTTGAGTTGTTTTTACCTCTATAGGAGTTGATACTTTCTTCTCACTTATAACATCATATTTCTGCTTCTTTGTCCCAGCTTTTAGTCCCTGCCATGGTAAGCTGATAACAAAAACAAAAACAAAAAATCAACAAGAGTTTGTAATTTTGATCAAGAAAAAAATACACAGAAGATGAAAGAAAAAGTGCGGAAGAACTGTTGACTCTTACCTTCCTTTGAGAAAATACATAAGCACATAACCGAGTGATTCCAGGTCATCCCTGCGACTTTGTTCTGTTCAAACACCAGCAAAAAGACCAAATTAAGTTTCAGAAAAAAACATATACAACTTTCACAATATATGTAACACAACCACAGGACAGCACTCTTACCAACTCCAAGGTGAGTGTTGACACTTGCATATCGAGCTGTCCCAGTCAGATTTTTGTTTTCTCTGTCAAAAAATTTGATATTTCCTTTGAGTTCACGGTAATAAGGTAAGAATAAATGGGAACGGTCTGCAGAACATGGCATATTCTTACCTGTATGGAATGTGCTTGTGAGTCTGAAGATCTCTGTATTTCTTCCCTAATCCAAAATCAATGATATACACCTGAAATAATGAGAAAAGATCTCAGAAGTTTGAAGCAGAAAGCACCATCACAATCACGTTTAATGTCTCAGCACAATATGTCTAAGAACCTGATTAGCTCTGCGTCCGAGACCCATTAAAAAATTATCAGGCTTTATATCACGGTGAAGGAAACCTCGAATATGCATAAACTCGACCCTGTTGAGCTGAAACGTAAACAGAGAAAACAATATTCCTCCATTACAAAACAAAATTCATAAATTCAGAGAATTGAAGAGATGGAAATCCAATTAATATACTGACAATTTGGTCGGCAATCATGAGAACAGTTTTCAAGGTGAACTTCCTGTTGCAGTAGTTAAACAAGTCTTCAAGACTAGGACCTAGAAGGTCAATAACCATTACGCTGTAGTCACCTTCAACTCCAAACCACTTGAGGCTTGGAAGACCAGCTTCATAGACAAAGAAAAACTGTTTCAGTTATTTGCAAAATTATATAATGCAACCAGCATAACATGGTAAAAAACTACTAAAAGCCTGTATATTCTTGATTCCCTAAAGCCAATCATCATCAGGAATCAAGAAACTCATAACTCTAATTTAGTTATAATGTAAAGTGAGACATACTTCCTCCTTGAAGCATCATATACAGCTTTGACTCATAATGAAGTTGTGGATGCTTGGTCTTCACAGATTCCTGAGTGACAAAAACGGATAATTAAAAAGAAGAGAAGCAAATCAAAAAGGACAAAACAAGGACATGTTAAATAGCAAATGAAAAAGCAATCCCTCATAGTCTTCATGTTAAAAAGAATTTTACAAACAACATCACAAGAAAGTTGAAGTTGAACTGCAAAGACTTTCTTTTTGCATTTGCATTATGAAAGATTGATATGTTTGTTAAATGTGGTAAAGATGTTTTTACCAGCTTGACAGCAACTTCTTCTCCTGTTTGAACATTTACACCTGCAGAAAAATGCACAACAACATGTAAACCATATACAACTTATATAAAAGAATATACATTCATCATCAATTTAAGGTAGCATACCTAGATAAAGCTCTCCAAAAGAGCCACTACCAATTTTCCTTCCAAGTTTAAATCTCCCACCAATCACAAGATCCATCTTCTCTCCCATCTCTTCCACAAATCCCAAAACTCAATAATATCAAAACCAACCCCTCCCTCTTCCTCAAATTCAGAAATTCACCCCACAGAAACTAAAAGCCCTCTAGAGATTACCCTCGAAAGATCCAAACTTTCAGAGATCCATTACTGTAGAAATACAATTGAACAAACAAAAATCCAGATTCCTTTAAATCAATTCGCCATCGACCCTCTTCGTGATCGCTTCAAATAACAAAACCCACAATGAAATCGATTGCTAAATTCAAACGCCGAATCGATTAGGCAATGAAAACCCTAATCAGATTGGTTTAGACAGAGAAGGATTAGAGAAGAAAGCACAAAACTTTTTAGATGGATTTGACAAGGGGATTGAGAAAAGAAATCGAAATATCGTTGAAAGGTTATTAAAAACGAAGAAATCAGGAAGAGGAAATGAAGATTTGGGACATTCTTTTGTCTCTGTCGCCTTTTGTGTTTTTTTTTTTCTGTTCAGACAAGAAATTTTGTTTTTAAGATTGGTTTTAATAATTGTAGAGTAGGATTGATTAACAATAATATCCTTCCTGATTAAGGTTTGTGCAGCAAGAAAAAAAAAGAAGAAATTATGCAACAAAAAATTTATGCAGTGTTATTGGTTCTATGATTTTAAAATCCAAGTTAGAATCAAGTGTTATTGGTTTCATGATTTATAAATTCTAATTCAAATCAGGTGTTATTCAATCATACGGATTCATTAATGGATTTGATTTTATAATGAATTTGGGTGGATTTGTGTGGATTTCTTTGTTAAAAATACAAGGATTAAAATCCGAAGGAAAACCATCGGATTTGTGTAAGTAATTATTAAAATTCACATATTAGATTTGGAAATCATTATATTTTGCTAAGATTTATAAATTCTGTACAGATTTCTAAATCAGTTAAAATACATTAACCAATAACACCCTCTTAGTTTTTTTTTGGTTCTGATTTTGAGAGGTTAAGCGAAACATGCTCCAACAGTACTTCATGTTTAATCATATGCAAACTAGAGCTTAACACGCGTATTTTTTCATTTAGATATAACTTTTTACATCCCTTATATATTAATCCTGAAGCATTCATAAATGCACAACCTTGAAGAATATGCTTACGTGTCAAGCTCACAGAGCTTCTCAGCTTTAATTTTTTAATGGACCAACTTTGGTAGGAATGAAATAATGTAACATTTAATTTCTTACATTTAGGACTATAATATATAGACATTTTTTAAGGGACCAACTCTGCTAGGTATAAAACAATATATTTTATTTCCTTAAATAAAAGTTACGGAATTACCTAATATGATTAACATATATATGTAATTAATAATTATGAATAATACATATTTTTGTATCCTCTCTCTTTTTGTTTAATTTAAAATTATTAAAACAAACTAAACCATCACATTTAAATATATAATAAAAAAAAATTCTTATAGGTTATATTTTTAATTTTTGTAAACGACCATAATAACTAAAAATAGTAAAATTCCACATTGAAAATTTTATGATGGTTTAACTTTGTTTTTTTCCAAAGAAGATACAAATTATCATAAATAGTACAAATATGAAGTATCATTAGTAGATATTCATACTATAAATATGTTAATTTAAAAATTTCAATGAAAATGTTTGAGGTTAGTAGATACAAATTATATTATTCGAAAGATTTTTGTAGTTTGTTTTATTTGTTTCTTTTTAAAAATATTTTTTAGTTTGTTTAGATAATTTAACTAATTTTAAATTACATTTATTAATAATTTATATATTTTGATTTTTTTGTCAACTTTTAATGTTTCACAAATATTTTTTGGGATGATTTCAGATATTGGTTACAATCCAATCTAAACTGAATTGAGAAGATCAAATCGAATCCAATCCGATAATTAGTAAAATTCAAATAGGATTTATGAGAATAATACCAAAATCTGAAAATACGTGTCAATCAAACTAAAACCGACGAAGTCTCAAACATCCAGATCTATGATGATTTAAGATACCAACATTTATATTCATCATTTTATAATCGATAAATACTGTAGTATTGCAAAATGTTAAAAATCATTTAATGAATAAATATTAGAACAAAAATTTCACCCGCGCATACGCGCGGATTATCATCTAGTATTTATGATTTTTATGGTTTTTGACTATTTCCCAATTGTTAGAATTTTATTTTTGTTTATACGAACTTAGGCAATAAATTTTAATTAACTGATGAATAGACTATGGGCATGTATATTCGCACGTTAGCAAAATATCTTATTAAAAACATTTTGTGACAGTTTGTAAATTATTCGGATTGCAAAAATAAATAAATTAATTAATTGGATATTCAGAATAATTGTCACTTCATTGTGGGTTTCATTCAAAATACCACCTTTTTGGTTAAGTTTTTGACTATTGTATTCATATATTTACCTCATAATTTTTTTTTATATTAGATGCATTTTCTTTAATTCCAAAAAAAGAAATAGATTCATTTCCTCTTCTCCATTGTTTTCACATATTTTAAAATGAATTTACGCAAAAACGTTCTTGTGACAGAATCTTACAAAAATTTGTAGTTTTGAGATAAGTTGAGATAGTTGACAGAACAAACAAAAATTTGTTTCAAAAAAAAAAAAAAAGAATATGTTGAGATAGTAGATTTTTTAGTTCATTAGACTAACCACCTATGTCTAAAATTTCTTTGTGAATCACAACTCATAGAGATAAAGAAGAATCAGAGAAAAAATGGGAAGAATATAAACTCAATGCTAGAGAAAATCGAGAAATTTGTCAACCTGAGGAGCGCTATATATGAAGGAGGTCGAGATCAAAGGGGGGGGGGGCACATTGAGCACAATTTCTTCCACTACACACGTATCATCCTCTGCATCCGGTTTAGCCTTAGAGAACTTAGTTCTATGTGGTTTTTAATCTAACAAATCTAAGTTAGACATTATTCTCATGTTTTATTTTTCTATCGCTTTATTCGATTATGAGACAAACTTTAAAAACCATTAAATATGTTGTTCACACTTTGTAAAATAAATTATGTTCGGCTTTCCTTTTTTGAAACCAAGAAGAATTCTATATCTCTCATCATTTGTCTTGGCTATATGAAGAAGACGATGGAACTAAACAATGTTTATAACTAGAGCTGTAGTAAGAACCTTCTCTTAGAATCAGATGCTTCATTCATGTCCAAATTTTCTCCAGAACACACAGCATCAGTAATGTCCTAAATTAGAATTCAACAGACTTCTCTAACCTTTCAACATATTAACATATTTCAACAAATTTAACCATATGTAAAAAAAAACTACACAAATCAACAAACTAGGCTACATGTCCTTGATCTGCTTTACGTTATTAACATATTTGATACGAAGGTTGTAATGCTACTTTCTTATTCCATAGTCTGCCCTTTAAAGTTATAGTATGTTTATTGGCTGAACGTGTTCAAAAAAAAAAAAGTTTATTGACTGAATATATAAAGAAAACAACAATGAGATTTTACATAATAGTGCAAAAGCCAGTAAGAGATCCCATAGCAATTGCGAGATCCATTGCTGTCATCGCGTACCACCATCCCACCTGCAACCACACATTCATCACTTTTTAATCTACAGTTTAATATAAAATAGCAATTTTTCTTATAAATATAGTTGTTAGAAGGAAAAATTTGTACCGACTCAAAAATCTCAAACCAAAATTTATTTTAAACCAAAGAAACCGAATTGGTATCCTTTGTACGATCCAGAAAGTAACAACTTACAGTCTTCGCTGGTAAGTTTTATTGTCATCGACTATACAAAAACATGCATTACGTTACAACCATCATAGGAGATTCTGCAGTGACGGGTTATAAGGGTGAAGGATGCTAAGTTAGATGAGCTTCCGACATATAATTAATTGATAATAAATGTATTGGTCAATTTATCTTATATATTAGTTAATGTCTCTTTCAACTTTTGATGTGAGAGAATTTGTCGGTAATACACTCATCGAAATGATGGTTCTTTAAGCGTCAATTTCGGAATGTTCAGGAAAGATTGGTATGCCAACTTTGGGCTGGATCGATGGACCGAGTTGGATTATATGGATTGGGCTATGATATCATGTTAAGCTAAATGGACTTCTAACCTAAAACAAATTGGTGATAAGTGAACCACCGTTCTTATATATTAATTAATTTCCCTTCTAATTTCCGATGTGTGAGACTTTGTCTCTAATAAAGGAATCATCACTGATGATGATGAACTGATTCAACTTACCAATCGAGGGATTATAATTCGAGAATATGATTTGTATCTTATTGGCAAAGTCTTAAATTTGAAAAAAACAAAACGTTGAAAAAATGAACTGGGAAACAGTAGGTTCTTATTTAATTCCGACGACGATGATGAACTGTAATATGTACTTAAGCTTGGACCTTTTCATTATAACTATTTTATGTTTGTTCTTGTCCACCAACAACCGCCGATTGTCGCTGAAGACTATTCTTGGGAAATTCCTTTTTGGATCCAATTTAATGGGAATCCCACTATATATGTGCACTGAGATCAATCTGCAAGAATTGAAACTATGAAGTCGAAAATATGAAGGTGGTCTTTGTTTCAATTTGATCCACGAATTCATTATGGTGTTGTTGTCCAAATAGTTATAGGGGGGGGGGGGCTAGTACAATTCTCAGACTAGTAACAAACTTAGTTCACATTTGTGAGTAAGTCTTACTCATGGCCCTTCTTACGTATGGACAAGTATTTCATGACTTAAGAAATCAGACAAAATGTGCATTTTGGTTTTAAGATTAGAGTTTAGGAGGATCCTTGATTTTTGATGATTCATGCGAGGCCATCCCGACCTAATGTTCTGGGAGTGCACCCGAGGATGACAATGAGTGATGTTAGTCATGGTGAGCCTAAATAATGAAATGTGGATATGCTAGAGAGACTGGCAATACCAAAGGACATACCACTTATTTAGAGTTTGGTCGTAACCCAATCTACCCATCAAGATTGTTTTTGTTGGAGTTATATGTAGAATAAATAGTATGCTGTAAAAGCAAGAAATTGGGTGGGTAGGAATATTCTAAACCAAAAACCTGAGATCATGACTCAGAGGCCAGAATCACTAAGCTGCCTTTGCTTGAGAAAATAATGTTCCTCATAAAATATGTCATCTTATATCTTATATGGCAGATTGCAACAAGACATTTAGCGGTAACTAGGAACTTGACACGTTGTCTTATGCTATGTAATAATCATTGACCTAGATGTGGAGACATCAATGAATCTGTAAACCATGTTATTTTCGAATGTCCATCAGCTTTACAAGCATCTGTCTTATCATATATTTCATGTTTGCCATTGATTTTTCCGATATCGAGTGTTTATTCTAACTTGGATTACCTCTTTTGATTGAAAATGATATTGAGGATCAAGAGATGGATAGGAATCCTTATACATAGATAATTTGGTATCTTCAATATACTCATAACGATAAATCATTTAGAGGAATTAAGAGAGGTCAATTTTAACTGGTTAGGCATGCATACGATGAATGTCAAGCTTGGTTTGCAGAAAATGTAACATCCATAGCTGAAGTGCAATCTACATCATATGGATCATGGATTCGTGAACCACAATATATAGTGATGGTGAAAGGTTTGCAAAGACTTTTTAGGTCAAACCTAGCTTTTAAGTACAAAGAATCGAAGCAGGCAAGTGTCACCTCTGCATACTGAGCTGTTAGCATTTTTAGACAATGGAAAGTATGTTACTCTACTCAATTTGTCAAATTTTTGAGCGGACTGCAACAACCTGGTTTTGATAATTGAAGAACCAACAATACGACCAAGCTTTTCAGCCAAACTGAAATACAGTAAAACATCTATAAATTAATAATATTGAGACTTTAAAATTTTATTAATTTATAGAGATATTAATTTACAAAAAGTTTCCTTTTATAGATTTTTTATCTTTTTAAAATATTTTTATTTACAAAATAAAATTATATTTAATTTTATGGTATATATATTCATAAAATTTTAGAAATTTGACTTTCTTATTATTTTATTAAATTACTTAGTTTACATTATTATGTTTCATATAATTTATATGTGGTTTTTTGATATAAGTTTACTAAATATTATCAAAATATATTGAAATGTTAAGAAAGAATACATGAATTTTCATTGTGAATATAAAATCAATAATATAGTTTAGGTTATACTTATAATAAAATGTATATGTAGATATATTATTAATTTATGATTTTAATGGGACCATATATTTATATAGGACTTTCTAAAAAGTTATTATCTTATTATTTTATCGATTTATGTCATATTTTGAACCGGCCCAACTCGGGACCGAGAATATTTATTAGTTTATAGAGATTATTAATTTATCGAGTATTAATTTATAGAGGTTCTACTGTAGTTAGCAACCTTAAAAAAGAAGATTCCAAGACTTCAAGATAATTTTACCAGACTTCAACACGACATCGCAGCTAGCTCTCGGGTTGTGTTTTCACGATGTCACATCTTTAAGTGTTCGGTGCTGGCATTCATTTCGGAGTTTATCGCCTGTCTTCGTGAGCTTCCGGTGGGTTTGAGGTGGGCAGTTCTCTGGCTCTCAGAGGCTGAGCTTAGCGGGTTTTTGGTCTTTCTTTGGTTTACTGGTCTCGAAGAAAACTTGCTTTGGGTCTTAGCCTTTTGGTTGCTCTAGTGGGTGTGTTTCTAACTGTTTTTTTGCAGGTTTCGTTCCAGCTAGTTTGTGTGTTTCGGCCTCCTTTCAATCCTGTGTTTTAATTTCTTGTATGTCGTGTTGTTGTTTGTTTTTGTTTCTTGTGATTAGGTTATTCTGTTTAGGTTGTGATAGGTTTAGGTCGTGGTTTTTATGTTTTCTTCTCTGGTCTTAAGTGTGGTAATGGGTCAATAGGTGAGGAAGAAGCGGAGATTTTTCTCTCCCGCCCCGATTAACCAGAACCAGCTGGTGATCACAGATGTTGGTTCCCTGGTTATGATAAGTGGATTGTCTGTGTGTCCTTCCTAGAGTTGGGTCCAGAGTTTAGCGAAGTAACTGTGTGTCCTTTGGAAGTGTAGCAGGGTAGTTTTAGGTGGTACATATTTTACCCAAGTCACTATTTATACCCATTATTTATGCCCAACCGGGTTGATGAATAAAATCAGTTAAGAAAAAAAAAGAGAGAATTTTACCAATCTCCAGCATAGAAAACGACTGCATATTCATTAGCTCTCATAATAGAGTTTTTTATAGAGATTTATTTTTCTTTGGTTGTTCCATTCTAATATAACTTCTCAAATTACATCTAGTTTGATTTATAAAATAAATTTTTGATGTTAAAAAAAACAAATCTAACGGAAACACACAAAATCCAACTATACTGTAACAAACCAAAATAGATAATCAAGGCTTTGTTAGAAAGTAATGAATCTATTTAGGGAGAATTTCAAATTTGCTCTATTTGTTGTACAAATCTATTTAAAAATATTGTTTTATTACTTTTACGGATTCGGATACGAATCCGGATATCCGCGGATATCACAATTTTTAGACAGATATCCGAACTCCAAATACATGAAAATTATGAATCTGAATCCGGATACCAAAATTACGGATCCGGATCCGAATACTCTAAATTTCCAGGATATCCGGATCCATCCCACCCCTAGTTAGAAGAAAAAAACTAGGCATGGGCATTCGGATATTCAGTTCGGTTTCGGGTATATCGGATAAATCATTCTTATACCCAATAATTACTTATGAGATTTCGGTTCGGTTTCGGTTCGGTTCCAGTTCGGTTTCGGTTCGGTTCCGGATACCCGTTTAATATATAAATCAAATATATATATATACACAATATATTAGTTAATATGTTAATTTAAATGGTCTAGTATTTACACGCTTACACTATTCGTCAATCCAACAAGAGTTCGAATCAATAAAGTATTAATCTTATAAATATTTATTGTATTTTAATATTGAAATACTATATATATTTATAATACAAGATAATAAATAAAAAATAATGTGGTCTAGTGGTAAAAATATACTTACTCTTTGTATTCAACTTAGGTTTAAGTGGGCTTAATGTCATTTTATCTTATATTAAAAAACTTTAACTTGTTTTTCGGGTATTCGGATACCCGTTCGGTTCTCGGTTCGGTTCCGGTTCGGTTCCGGTTCGATTTTTCGGGTATAGAAATATAGGAATCATTCGAATATTTAAGAATTTTAGTCCGGTTTCGGTTCGGATATTTCCGTTCGGGTCGATTTTTCGATTCCGGTTTTTTTGCCCAGGGCTAGAAAAAACCATACCGGCCCAAAAATCATCAAACCAAAATTTATTCTAATAAAATGAGAAAACAAATAAAATGAAATATATACAGTATGTGTTTAAAAAAGTTTACCCTCTCAGGTGGTTGTTCGGGCATGTTTTGTTCGCCAGGCGGCTCCTGCAACATTTAGAGGATGCCATACCATTAGTTGGTTGTTTTATAAACTCTTGTAGGCCTTGTATAAGTTTATGCGATTTGGATAAATTTTGGTTTTCCAATGAACAGATAATATTGACTAATACCTCTTTACAACAAATAAAATTGACCGGACTTAAAAATCGACTGATTCAATTTTATTTTCAGAATCAACATTTTCATTTTAGCTAATTATATAATAATAAAATTTTAAACTCTTGAATAAATATTACTAAAAATCTGTACATGAATTTTATCCAATAAATAAAAAAATTATAATTTAATTTAATAATATTATTAGATGTTAATCTAATATCATAAACATATTTTACAAAAAAAAAAATATTATAAACACATTTTAAATAAACTGAATAATAATAGTAAGAAGTGAAGTGTTTTTGGGAAATTTATATATCTTGTTAGATTAATTATTAATATTTCTTAGTTTTATAATATATCAAAATCATTTTTGACCTGACTTTAAAAGCCTATCATTATTTATTTTTTAGTTTGCAAAAAAATACTTAATGAATATATAATTTTTGTAAATAATTTATGAATTTATTTATATATAACTATATATATTATTAAAATTTATTTAGTTTATTTTTAATTGGACTAAAATTTTTGGTTTTGATAAGAGTACTTACAGAATTTAATATATACACCTATAGCCTAAGATGTGTTTTATTTCGAGTATTTAAAAGTTAAAATAAAAAATAATGGTTAAAAGTGTCATTTTCATGTTTTCATGTTTTGATGTTTAGAGTTTTGAAATAATATTTTTTTGTTAAATTTTTATTTTATTTTTAAGTGTCAAATATTCAGTGCAAATTAAAAAAAAATCATTAGAGGTTGCAAATATAAATTTATAATTGTGTTAGTTTCTAATATCGTGTAATAACGCATAATTATACTTTTAAAATAAATTATAATATATTGTTTTAAGAAGATAATATACACTACATCAATCTTAAATACATTTATTTTCTGAAAAACCTAATAAAGTCTTTTACATTTTTCAACTTGTCTTATACTTAACAAATATTTTCAAGTTTGTATGAATAACCATAAAACATTTAATCATCTATCTTATTAAAGTAGAAATATTGTATTATACCTAACCTTTATTTTGTAAGTTTTTAAATTAAACACATCTCCCTACTTTATAGTTATTCATAGTGAATTCTATATTTAATTTTTAAATACTTTAAAATATTTTGATGTTATCTTGTCATAATTTATACTTAAAATGTATCTACATTAGGATATTTGATTATATACAATGTAATCGAATAATAACAACATAAATTTTGTATTTCTATGTCATCATTAAAGATACCGTAAGATCAAATATTTTTATTTTATTTTTACATTAAAAATACATGAAAATATATAAATCTAAAATAAAAATACATAACCTAAAAACTTTATAAATTAATAAAATATCACAGTCAGAACATTATTAAATTATAAAGTTTTAACTAGAATATGCAGGAAATAAAGACAACGTACCAGAGGTTGGTGGCTACGCTTAGATCGTAGTAAAACATAACTATCCAGGAAGACACGATGCGGATGATTACAATTCCGCTGCATATAACACTTGACGCAGAGATCAAACGTGTCGCCATCACTTTGGGATTCAAAGCACGTCACACACGTAAAGTATAAACCAATGAGAGGCTGGAGGCACGTGCGGCAGAGGATGGTCCGCGTCCGAGCCACATAGTAAAGCGTCAAGACCTCCCAGAAGTCAAGCTGACCGTCTCCGTTTCGGTCGAGCTCCTGAAACATCTCGCGATGGACCCAACCGAAACCGGTGGTTCTATACAAGAAATCGGTATACTCATGAAAGCTGACACGGCCATCACCGTCACCATCCATTGAACGGAAAAACTGCCATGCCAAATTCTGTTGATCCGTGGAGCCGTTGTTGTAATAAGCAATTGCCGCTTCATGGAGCTCTTGCATTGTTGATAAGATTGTTCGAAAAGATAAAATGAATGAAGAATCTCTAGTGGATGTTATGAAGAGGAGACTTTTGCTTAGGCTGAAGGTCAAGGTCTTTTTTTTTTTTAACAACAGGTCAAGGTCTTTAAATGAAGAAAAAAAATGTCCTTTATTATGTTAAAATGAACAAAATACGTCTACATTGAAGTCCAATAAATCATTGTAAGCTTATATTGAAGCCCAATAAACAAATCCAAGATGATTATTTACTTCATTCTTGCCATTTTACCTGAATCCGAAAGGTTGTGTGGAGGAATCAAGAATTTTACAAACTCAAGTGAAATAACACACCTCTTAATCAATCTGCTTATCACTATATATCATACTAGGGTCGGCCCGCCCTACGGGCGGGATATACTTTATTTGTGATCTAGATTACTATTTTTTGTATGATTTTCTGATTTGTGTTTGACTTTAAATTTGCAAAAGATGTATATGATAGTAATTTTTGTTCTTTTGAAAGATTTAGGTGACAAATTGTCTATTTTTCTTCTTTTATATATATTCTTAAATAGACTGAGTAAAGATTTTCTTATTTAATTTCATACACTGATTTTTTTTAAGTTATTGATCTGAATTGAACAGTTTTGAGATATTTTAAATTATCTATTTTACAATTTAAAAAAAAACACATTGGCTAAATATTTAATTGTATGTTTAAAGAGAATCCTGAATTATGATTGTTCTCGGAACATACAGATTCGACTATAATAGTTCTACAATTATAATGACAGCTACATCATTAACAATTTATATATTGTAAAATATACATATATATATATCTGAATTTTCATTTACTTAAGTAACTCCATCCACTGTTGTAGAGAACCACATAAATCTCTTGGAATTACAAATATGGATTGATCATGGATCTTAATACGGTGAGCAAGACATACCTGCAATACCACAAAAAGCGCATATGTTTACTTCATGATTTGGAACAAATCAGACGGTGCAGTAAGGATAGTACATCAATCTTCTGAGGAAGTTATAAACAATGTCAATGTTCTTTGACTTGTAGTAGTTAGTAAAGTAAAAATCTTGTGGTTTGACCTTATGCATATGAAAGAGAAATTCATGTACTCTTCAAAAACCAACCATTAGTGTTTCCTCACATAAGCTACAAAACATTATTGGGATAAATTTGCCTGTTTAGTTAGTTGAATCAGATGGATAAAAGAACATCATCCGCAAGAAACACATTTATCAAGCTAAATAATATTAAAAAAAAAACTAATCATTAGTCCGATAATTCATGACTTTAATAAAGTAGGCGAGATTATGAACAATAATATATTTTATAAATTTATATGCTATTATTTTGTTTTTAAAAGTATTTTTTCTAAAATATTTGTTTGAATATTTATTAACCACTTTTGCTGGTATCATATTTTATAAAAAAACTGACTTGACCTAAAAATGGAAAGCAAATATATAGAGATTATTTTTTGTCTTTTGGTTTTGAGTTGGTGGAATGTTAGAAAAAAACAACAATATGGTAAATAGAATTTTCTCTTTTTAGTTCTTATATATTTCTCTATTTATTGTGAAGTAGTAATAAACTTTTCACTAAACTCTATATTACGTATCATCACTAAATCTAATTGTTCTATTTTTGTAACTTGCTAGTTTTTGTGTGTTTCAAACTTTTTTTAGATCTCTATTTTGATTATGTAGTAATCATTAATCATAAAGGAAAAACTCGTAAGGTTCAATATTTTCTATTTTTCGTTTGTATAAATCTAATGAAATGTAAAAATAACTTGTGAAATTCATTATTTGTTAAATTGATAATGCCATTTGTTTCTAACCTTTTACGATTTTTAATTTTGACTGAGAAAGAATCTAAAAAATAGATTTCCGAATGATTTTTGTTGAACATCTCCCTTTTCATCTTTTATATATAGCTACACAGATTTTTGTGTAACATGTCCCATTTAATCTAGAAAAAGGAAAGCCGAGTTTTATTTTATTTAAAATCAAATTTTAAGTAGTGAACTGGTGCTTTATTTATATAGTAGCTATGATGAATTTTACTAATATACTAATTATCATTCTAATTCGGTAAACGAATCTAAGGTATTTGTTTTTGTTGATCATCATATATGCTAATCGTCTAATATTTATTTGCATCTTATGATTTACTTCTAAGACTATTGTTTAAAGCTTCATCCGACTAAATATTTGTTTCCATATCGAGAAGCAAAATCAGTATGTTTATTTCTAATGTTCTATTATATTTTAAACATTTGTTTCCATCTCGAGGAGTAAAAATTCCATCTTCTAACGTTTGGTGATGATTGATTTGATTGTGGCTTTAAAATATTAAAAATAAAAGTTTAGTTGTATTTATATTAGTTGTATCTTTAAAATTGTTATTGTAAATATTTTTGCAGAGATTTTTCTGTAACTAAATTTGTAATAAAGGTAAGGTATAAGCTACAATATATTCAAGTCTGCTACCAGTTATTCGTTTAATACACTTGAAAAGTAGAAGAAACATAGAATCTTTGAATTTGACTCTTTTCTAAATCATTTGAAATACTGAGCCAAGCTGCTCAAGTACAACTTATGAAGATTTTTTTTTTCAGAAAACGCTAAAAACAGCTGTGAAAGTCTGCAATATTCCATTAGGCTTTAAGAATCTGAAGATTAAACATTGCGGACAGGATTTCCCATAGGCCCAGTGGCTGTTCCTGGGTTGCCTTCCACCATGACATGAGCAATGGTTCCACCGTTGTTGACATGATCACCTCTTTAAATACCTTCAGAAGTATCTCCATACACAGTATCAGCTCCTGGAATATCATTGCCTGTGTTGTCATCACCTCCCTGTGGAGGAGTAAGGGGTATATATAAGAAAACAGTTCTTAGAGGTGCTTAAACGTAAATATACAGAGATATCACCTGCTCTGCAAAACCAGGAAAGGGGAACACTGGTTGCGATCAAGAATGTGGGATATGGTGAATGACTGATGCTTTGATGAGAAATTAAACATTGATAGCTTCTGTTGGAATGTTAATGCCCTCCCTTCTATTTCTCTAAAGTACTGACGGAGAGCAATGTTATGTGTATCCTCCATTCCAGCGACATGTAATATAATTAAAGCTACACACAAATAAAGAACATAGGCCAATTGATAGATGTTACCATGGGTTGAGACACTCCTGCAACAGGAACATTGGTCAGCTTGTTCATCTCAGCATCAAAAATCACAAACATAGCAGGGTCGGATGCATCTGCTGCCATCTCCACCCGATACTTCTCACCAAAGAGAGATGCTTCGTATTTTTCTTCTCGCACCAGGTTGTATTCATGTAAAGAAATGTTGGTGCGCCAGTTATAGTGGTCCATAAATACATTCCCCTTTTCAAATTGGGATCCTACTTATCTGAAGAAAAAAGGACGCAGCATCCTTTAATAGCTTGGTACTAATGAACACAGCTAAAATAAATTAAGCACTTGTGTTTATGAACAGATTGAACATAACAGAAGTTTTAAACTAACAAACACCACTCTAATATGCTTCGGAGTGGTTAGACGCACTCGTATAACAGAAGTAAACTAATACAGATTATCACAAGAATAATAATAAAAGCTTAATGGAAAAGAGGTACCTTTGATATCCACTCAATGACATCTTTCACTCAATCAATGTTGAGAGAAAACCAAAACATATATATCCATGCGGTTTTAGAACAGAGCCTCCTAGATATGATTCAAACCGTACAATTCACCAATAACTCGTGGCCTTTCAGCTTCAGGAATAGCAAGCTTCTCACGTATATCAATATGAGTTGTGTGAATACCAAGCCCAATCAAAAAAGTGCTACTTCTCTCCTTTATATATCCTAAAACCCTTCAAAAGAGAATGAGGATAGCAAATAATGACAAAACCGGTTTCATATTACGTACAATGTCACACACATCATTAAAAGCTTCAAACTTCATGACAAATAACATTGATTTGACTAACAAAAACACTCTATAATAATTGAATTGGAAGTTCAAGGCAACCTCAGGAAAGAGAGAAATATTACGGTCAGATGCATAGTTCTTGTTCGAGAGCAAAGATAGTTGTTGCATTAGACTCATAATCAGACGAAGAAAGCTCGCAACGTGCTCTCTGGATTAGACTATGGCTGGTTCTATTGTTCCTCAGAACACCAATGAGACCCAGTAGAGTCTGAAAAGTAGAAAAAGAATAAGAAAACAGATTATGGTGATTTAATAAAGTCTCAAGCTTTGGGCAACCAACGAATGCACTCAAGACCGCCATAGAAATCCAAATTTGGAAACAAAGATAATTAAGAGAATTATGAACGGGATTACCTTAGAATCAAAGAGTAGCATGTCCAAACCCAACAGCTCACCACTGTGTTTCACGGTCTTAGCTTCCCAAAATCTGAGCAGTTGCATCTGACTGTGTAAGAACAGAGACCATGCTTAAAATCGGATCAGCGAGTTAGCCATTAAACAGGAAAATGAGATTCAGATGATTTTATGAATTGAGAGAATGATGTTCTGGAGATGAGGTCTGACCTTTTTATAAGACAACAAACACCACCTGAAAGAAGAATAAGAAGCATAGAACCTCCATTAGAGTTTAACCTACTAAGATCTATAGAAACGCAGAACCGTAGAATCCATAAAAAAAACAAAATGGTCTACTCAGTCTCCTCTACAAACGTTATTCATAAGTTTATTATATTCACATTTCCAAAGGAATAATTTAGGAGTTCACAAACAAACACGCTTTTCTTTGAGATACCATATCCAAAAAATCAGGGGCTTTTATGCAAAAACATATTTTTCTTCTTGGGAGCTTCATCAGGGAAGAATCGCCGAAGTGAAGTCTAGGATTAGCAAAAACACCAATCAAATATTTTATCTCCAAACTCCTTTCTCCCAGTCAACGAAGCAAAGTGGCGACTCAAAAACCCTAATCCACCGCCTTCCACTTAATTCACAGACACTGCCTCAATAGTGGCGTAGCAATCAGCCTTGTCGATCTCAGACCACCATGCCACCGTACAAAAACCCCTAATCAAACAACAATCAAGAGATGGTAAAAAACACACACACAAAAACTAAAGACGAATCTGAGAAGAAATCGAGAACAGACCCTTGAGCGAGAGAAGGAGGAGATTCATAGGAGAAGTGCAAGGGTTTCCGCTGCAAGAAGAGAGAAACTCGGCTCTCACCAAAGAAAAAATGAATTAAATCAAATATGTCCTACGTGGACTTGTTGATGTGGCATCCGACGTGGCATCCCTTAGAAGGAGGGATGCTTTACTTTATATAATAGATACGTA